AGTATTTTGCAGATCTCGTTTATTGCCACAAACGAGATCTGCAAAATGAAGAAAAAAAACAAAAACATACTCTCTCTCTACATCATGCCTCTTTTTAAATTCCTTAGGGTGTCCTTTCCAAAAAGGGGTCATTTGGGAGGGTGTGGTGCTATCCTGGCATTTCAGGGCCTTCGACACTGTGATAGGTAGCGAGGAAGTAAAATGAGTAAGTTACACACCTTCAGGCTTTCAAACTGGTCATTGGATTTCAGGCTCCTGTATGTGGCTAGGCTCCGAAAAAGTCTCACACTTGAATGCAACCGCAGCCACCAAGAATTCAAGCACAGGCCCATAGAACCCATAGTAGCCTTCCAGAGGTGCTTACAGTGTTGCCAACCATCAGTAAATTAACAATTTGTAAAAATCAGTGATTTCTACACCTGTCCGTGAATGTCCATTAAACTGTCAGTAAAAACACTGCTGCCAGGAGATGGACGGGTCAAACGATCCGTCCAACTTACACAGCCCCATTGTTTTTTTTTTTATTAACACTGCCCGCCACTAAAGTTCCACTTCCCGCCTGCCACTGCTACTGACAGTTCTAGTGTTTAGTTGCTAGGACCACACAGTGTCCTTAGCAACCAACCACATGCTTGCTCTACCCCAGTCAGAGGAGGAAGACAGAACTTCCTCTTCCAGAGTCAGGACCTGTTGCCTTTGCCCCTCCTGCTATTTTTAGGTGTAGGTGAGAGATGCACTAAGAGTGTGAGCCCTAGCCTGCTCTCATTGCTGTACAAGGCATCCTGGAAACCTGGCAGTGGTTGTAACTTCAGATCTCTCCATAGAATGACATCATCCTCCAGATGACACCTGGCCTTGCCCATACCAACACACAGAGGCACCGAGCTGGAGAAGTACGAAGATGACATGGCTGTAGTAGAGTGAGTGTGGTCAGGAGGAGCTGACTTTATGTCTAAGCTTTGGATGGCAGACTCAGTAACCTTGCAGTGACAGGAGCTGATGGTAACTGGTGAGTCCGCCAATATTCTGCAGTACAGCACATAACAATGTGCAGCTGTGCGTAGTAACCAATCAGCTTCTAACTTCAGTTTGTTCAATTAAGTTTTGATAATAAAATAGAAGCTGATTGGTTAGTATGTACAGCTGCACCAGATTCTGTGTGCTACACTTTTAGTAACTCCACCCCATAGAATGAACAAATACAAAGTGAGACAAAGGTGCACACACATGTGCATGAATAATGTGCATATGGATGCCAGGATCAGCAGCAAAGAATGCAAGTCAGGTCATAGTAAAATACAAGTGATGTGCAGGCCAAGAGCTGAAGGTCAAAAGCCAGAACATCAGGAGATGCCCCCTTTTGCAAGAGATGCAGACATGTAATTAATAGATATAACTGAACACCTAGTAATAGTGTACTTAGTGTCTCATACTGCAATGCAGAACAAAGATGCCAGGATTCCATTCTGCCACTTTATTCACAGCTTATGAGGTTTACTCTGTTATCCACAAAAAAAATCAATGCATATACAGTATATACTGATCCATTACCAAGGCAAACGTTGTTGTGGCAACAGCAACCATCTGTTACCAGGTGTCTACGTAGCTCTTACCCCTCTAGATTATAAATCCTACAGGGACACGGTGTGGATGTGTGTGTGTGCTGACAAAATTAGATGGTTAGCACCAGCGGGACAGGAACATACTTGAATGATAAAATCCTGGTCGTAAATTTGAATTGCATAAATAAAGTACAATAGTACATAATTGACAAAAAGATTAAAGAAATGTGAATACGTTCAGTTAAAAGTATTTTAAAAAAATTCTGTTCACGAGCAATGAAAAGAGGCGATTGTAATATAAAACTGTACAATTTCTGGCATATAACTTGACATTATGATGGGAGATTGAGGCCCTAGAGTAGCGTTTTTCAACCTTTTTTTTTTTAACAAGAAGGAACGTATGAAAACATTATCAGATCTCAAAGAACCCCTTCCTTGTATTCATTCAAAAAAATATTGTTCTATGAGTGAGTGAACCCCAAACAGTTAGTGTGCAGAGGGGAAGCAGCCTGCACAGAACCTCAGCAGAACCCAGAAGATTGCAGCTATCTAGCATTGCGAACCCTCAATATTTTTACTGGCAGTCAGTAAAAAAGACAGGCACTTTTCTCCTGCCTGTAAATGCCAGTGAAAGGAAAGGGTTGCCAGTTGCAGATTAATCAACGGTTATTTATTGCCAGCCCACTTCGTAAGAACCAGCTACATTGCTAGACGAGAGCACAAAAACAGAAAAATGCTGGAAAAATGCTCAAATTGAGCATTTTTATCCAGCATTTTAAACAGCGCTTTTTTCACCTCCTCATGTGCATGGAGTGTAAGTATCCCATACAACAGCAAACAGAGGCACACTAATTCCATTGACAGCACATCTGAAAGATGATCAGCTCTCTCTCATTTAAAGTAAAAGTAAACATTTAAAGTAATATACAGTCACTGGTCACTTTATTAGGTATACCTTGCTAGTGCCAAGAAAATATCCCCAACACCATTATGCCGCCACCACCAGCCTGAACCATGATACAAGGCAGGATGGATCCATGCTACATGTTTTTTACCCCAAATTCTGACACTACCATCTGAATATTGCAGCAACCAGTCTGCCCATTCTCCTCTGACCTCAACAAGGCATTTTCGTCCACACAACTTCTGCTCGCTGGATATTTTCTCTGTTTTGGACCATTCTCTGTAAATCCTAAAGATGTTTGTGCGTGAAAATCCCAGTAGATCAGCAGTTTTTGAAAACCTCAGACCAGCCTGTGACGATCACGCCGTCAGACCCCTGCCCTTCTCACCAAACTCGTGACCGAAGAACTAGCCAATCTAAAACCACGATGTCGCGTGCGTAACAATACCACACCCAGCTGCACCCTGCACACACCGATTTTCCAGCTAATTGGACCACAATCGATGTGCCGGCAGCCTGGGACCGATTGTTACTGGGTCAGGTTAATTACGCAATTAACCCTTCACACTCTCACCACCTCCTTTTTGTACAGAGAAAGAAGAAACTCAGCAATAACACTAGGATGATTGGATAATCGTCTGTATACCACTATCACCGCTGTCAGGGCTCCCAGGTATGACCAGAGGTGTGTGACTGATGCAGGGAAACGCAGACTTCAGATATGTGATAAACAATACAATTTATTAACACTAACCATACAAACATAAACGCAGTGCAATACTAAACATAATACAGTGCAAACAAACCCAACCCAACCACCCACAGATAACAGTACATACAAGCAAGCGTCGTCAGGCAGGCCGGGTCAATATCAATTGGGCAGGTAGGTACAGGGGGAGCAAGCAGAGATTGGTCGGGGTCACAGGCCAGGTTTCAGCAGGTAGCAAGCAGCGTAGTACAGAGGGGTCAGGCAGAGGGATGGTCAGGGTCACAAGCCAGGGATCAAAACAGGTAACAAGCAGCGTAGTACAGAGGGTCAGGCAGAGGGACAGAAACAGGATGCAGGACAGATACAGGGCCCAGGACAAACACACACCAAGGCAGAGTCTGTGGGTCTGGCCATCCCTTAAATACCCCAGCATCATCAGTTCCAGGTGTTAGCTGGCTGAAAGGTTGAGTCTCTGATTGCTGGGGAGCACCCGCTGGCCAGCCCTGGTACTGCAGATCAAAAGGCAGGTGAGTCCCACCATTGCTGGCCAGTCCATTCCTGACAGTACCCCCCCCCTCAAGGAGTGGCCTCAGGACGCTCCAAACAGTCCTAGCTGGGCAAAATGTTCCACCGCCCGGGTCTGGTAACTGGCGGGATATCAAAGACTGGCACACGGGCTGGACTCCGGGCAGCGGCACACCGGGCTGGACTCCGGGCAGCGGCACACCGGGCTGGACTCCGGGCAGAGGCACACCGGGCTGGACTCCGGGCAGAGGCACATCGGGCAGAGGCACACCGGGCTGGACTCGGGCAGAGGCACACCGGGGCGACCGGGACTCCGGGCAGAGGCACCCCGGGCTGGACTCCGGGCAGAGGCACATCGGGCCGAGGCACATCGGCAGAGGCACATCGGGCAGGGCCTCCGGGCAGAGGCGACATCGGATTACCGGCAAAGCAGCAGGCACGGGCCCCCGGGCGGAGCAGCAGCACCGGGCCCCCGGCGGAGCAGCAGGCACCGGGGCCCCCGGCGGGGCGACAGGCATCGGGCCCCCGGGCGGGGCAGCAGGCACCGGGCCCCCGGGCGGGGCGGACACGGCCCCCGGGCGGGGCAGCAGGCACCGGGCCCCCGGGCGGAGCAGCAAGCACCGGGCCCCCGGGCGGGCGACAGGCATCGGGCCCCCGGGCGGGGCGACAGGCATCGGGCCCCCGAGCGGGGCGGCAGCAGGCACCGGGCCCCCGGGCGGGCAGCAGCACCGGGCCCCCGGGCGGAGCAGGCAGGCACCGGGCCCCCGGGGGGGGCAGCAGGCACCGGGCCCCCAGGCGGGGCAGGCAGGCACCGGCGGGGCGACAGCCGGCCCCCAGGGCGGGGCAGCAGGCACCGGGCCCCAGGCGGGCGACCGGCATCGGGCCCCCCAGGCGGGGCGACAGGCATCGTGCCCTCCCAGGCGGGGCGACCCCCAGCATCGTGCCCCCAGGCGGGCCGACAGGCATCGTGCCCCCAGGCCCCCAGGGGCGACAGGCATCGTGCCCCCAGGCGGGGCGACAGGTCTCGGGCCCCAGATCGACAGGCGGGCGGAGCGGCGGGCGTTGGACCCCCAGGTGGAGCGACAGGTCTCGGGCCCTCAGGCGGAGCGGCGGGCGCCGGACCCCCAGGCGGAGCGACAGGTCTCGGGCCCTCAGGCGGCGCGGCAGGCGCCAGACCCCCAGGAGGAGCGACAGGTCTCGGGCCCTCAAGCGGAGCGGCGGGCGCCGGACCCCCAGGCGGAGCGACAGGTCTCGGGCCCTTAGGCGGAACGACAGGTCTCAGGCCCCCAGGCGGGGCAGCGGGGGCACCGAGTCACCAGGCACAACCGTGGGCTCCGAGTCAACTGGGATGACCGCTGGCACTGGGTCAGACATTGGATCGTCTGGCTGGACAGCGGGCACTGGGTCACCAGCCATCAGGTCATTTGGCTCGACAGCGGGCACCGCGTCATCTGGCAAGGCAGTGGGCTCCGAGTCAACTGGTATGACCGCGGGCACTGGGTCAGACATTGGATCGTCTGACTGGACAGCGGGCATCGGGTCACCAGGCATCAGGTCATTTGGCTCGACAGCGGGGCACCGCGTCATCTGGCAAGGCAGTGGGCTCCGAGTCAACAGGCACGACAGTGAGCACCGGTCATCAGGTACCGGATTGTCTGGCTCGACAGCGGGCATCGGGTCACCAGGTATGACAGCGGGCACTGGGTCACCAGGCATCAGGTCATTTGGGCTCGACAGCGGGCACCGGATCAGGTACCGGATCATCTGGATCAACAGCGGGCATCGAGTCAACTGGCCTAATAGGATCGTCAGGCTGGATCAGTTCATCATGCTGGGTAGAGGCATCAGGCTGAATGCCGGCGTCCGGCTGAGTAGAGGCTTCAGGCCGAGTAGGCTTCAGGCCGAGTAGAGGCTTCAGGCCGAGTAGAGGCTTCAGGCCGAGTAGAGGCATCAGGCCGAGTAGAGGCATCAGGCCGAGTAGAGGCTTCAGGCCGAGTAGAGGCTTCAGGCCGAGTAGAGGCATCAGGCTTCGAGCTTCAGAGTAGAGGCTTCAGGGCCGAGTAGAGGCTTCAGGCCGAGTAGAGGCATCAGGCCGAGTAGAGGCTTCAGGCCGAGTAGAGGCATTCAGGCCCGAGTAGAGGCATCAGGCCGAGTAGAGGCTTCAGGCCGAGTAGAGGCATCAGGCCGAGTAGAGGCTTCAGGCCGAGTAGAGGCATCAGGCAGTCAGGCCGAGTAGAGGCATCAGGCCGAGTAGAGTAGAGCATCAGGCCGAGCATCACAGGCATCAGGCTGAAGAGAGGCATCAGGCTGCGGTACCGGCATCAGGCTGAAGAGAGGCATCAGGCTGCAGGGCATCAGGCTGAGAGAGGCATCAGGCTGAGTAGAGGCATCAGGCTGAGTAGAGGCATCAGGCTGAGTAGAGGCATCAGGCTGAGTAGAGGCATCAGGCTGAGTAGAGGCTTCAGGCTGAGTAGAGGCTTCAGGCTGAGTAGAGGCTTCAGGCTGAACCACGGAAGGCAGGCTCACCGGTTTGGATACTGGCAGGATGGGTATTGGTTGGAAAGAATTTTCGCTTTTTTCTGGTTTTAACTACTGGAGCACTGCAAGTAAACGCAGGTCTGCAAACGAATGGAGCAGCTGGAGACAGAGAAGAACTGGAGGATGGAACAGGAGAGGGAGCAGTTGCTACAGAGGGCTTTTTTACAGGGTTAAAGGCAGGATAGGTGCAGCGAGTGGGAACAGGGTACTGACATGCGGTAGATAGCAGGGCAGGAGGAGCTGTTGGAATGCAGGAATAGAGTTTTGAGGAAATAGATTAGAAGCAGGACTGGGTCTTTGTAAGCTGACTGAGGCTGGGTGCAACAAGTCTGACCATGTCTGCAGTATGGGTTGAACAAAGCTGAGCTTACACAAAGCCTGTCTGGTCAATGACTGCACTGCGTTTATACAATCTCTTAGTGTCTGTGGTGAACATGTGGAATAACGCTCCAGAAAGTAACCCACATCATCCTCTAATAACCACACCAGGGACTCTACCTGGTCTGCACTAAATGGTGGCAAAAATTCATCCCTGCATTCGGGGGAACCAGATGAAACCAACTCAGCACAAACCTCAATCAATGGCTGCACCTCAGAGAGAACTCTGTGCCCTGATCTACTAGAACATGAGCGAGCCGTATACATTCTAGCAGTTCATCCCGGGTATACTCCTTCAGAGTTTGATAAGCATACTCCCTGTCATCAAACACTAGCAGATATAAATATTCAACCTCATCAAGATCCATCCTTCCCATCAACAAGCCAAGATGGCTTCCCTGTGCAGCCACTTCTGGTCAGGATTGGCCTTGGTGTAATGTCAGGGCTCCCAGGTATGACCAGAGGTGTGTGACTGATGCAGGGAAACGCAGACTTCAGATATGTGATAAACAATACAATTTATTAACACTAACCATACAAACATAAACGCAGTGCAATACTAAACATAATACAGTGCAAACAAACCCAACCAACCACCCACAGATAACAGTACATACAAGCAAGCGTCGTCAGGCAGGCCGGGTCAATATCAATTGGGCAGGTAGGTACAGGGGGAGCAAGCAGAGATTGGTCGGGGTCACAGGCCAGGTTCAGCAGGTAGCAAGCAGCGTAGTACAGAGGGTCAGGCAGAGGGATGGTCAGGGTCACAAGCCAGGGATCAAAACAGGTAACAAGCAGCGTAGTACAGAGGGTCAGGCAGAGGGACAGAAACAGGGCCCAGGACAAACACACACCAAGGCAGAGTCTGTGGGTCTGGCCATCCCTTAAATACCCCAGCATCATCAGTTCCAGGTGTTAGCTAGCTGAAAGGTTGAGTCTCTGATTGCTGGGAGCACCCGCTGGCCAGCCCTGGTACTGCAGATCAAAAGGCAGGTGAGTCCCACCATTGCTGGCCAGTCCATTCCTGACAACCGCATACAGGTTATACAGAGGGTTAAACACACATAGTAGTGCTCTTCAGCGGCAGGAATTCGTAAGTTGCATTAAGGAACTTTAGAAACAGTTCAACACTTTCAGAAGGAAAGATTTATTACTAAAAGGTCAAAAGGGTGCAATAACAATATTTACCGAAAAAAGATGTAACCAATATATATATAAAATATACAGAGAACAATAGCACAGCAAAAAGATAACAGAAAGAAGTTTAGGTAGATAAGTACTTGCCAAAAAGCCTTGGGTTAAGCAGTTTCAAGTCTCATGAGTCAAAAAGGATTTCTTGTCTCTACTTCTAGTTTCGATGTTAAACGCAGGAGACTCTTCTCTTCTCTCACACCCACACTAAGCATAACAGCCCTTTTTCTACAATCTCAGCGGGGTGGCTCCTTACAACAAAGAACTGATTGCCTTATTTGGGGAGGGGGTGTTGGGAGGAGACGAAAGTACAACCAGAATCTCTCCTAGCTTATATTTTGGCTCATAACTTTTCCTAGGTACATTTGCTGGCTTAAGCACTAGTATATTAATACTCAGCCGCATCTGCGGAATGGTTAGAGATGAAACATGAAATATGCACTTGAATGGTTCAAGAGATATACTTTTCTGCTCTCCTATGTAGGCCAGCTAAGGGGTGTCACATACCAGGAGACTGGCCTCAAACTGAGCCTTCCGAATATAGGCTCCATGTTTAGGTAGTTATGTCCTACGTGAAGATATCAACTTATCTGAAAAGTGAGTTTTTAAAAGTCTGTTTTTACGACCCCTTGGAAGGTCTTTTGAAGTTCAGTGAGGGACTTGGCTTATACTTTTACGATGTGCCAGATTGCACAGCGCAGCACCCAGCTCGTGAGGTTTTATAGCTCGGAGCCCACTGCTGTGCTTTGGCCACCTGTGACACTTCCAACACACACCGACCACATGTCACTGTGGATGAACAGAGAGGGAATGATGGGACAACATGGAGAATTCTTAACAAAATGGTTGAACCGCGTCCATCTCTGTGGGTATGGTTGCTACATAGCCCATCTGGCACCAACAACCATGTCACGTTCAAAGTCACCTAAACCCCTTTTCTTCCCCATTTTGATGCGCAGTTTGAACACCACCACGTCTAGATACCTAAATGCATTGAGTTGCTGCCATGTTATTGGCTGATTAGCAATTTGTGTTACCAAGCAGTTAAACAGGTGTACCTAATAAAGTAGCCGGTGAGTGTATACAGCGGGTAAAATAAGTACTGAACACATCACCATTTTTCTCAGTAAATATACTTCTAAAAGTGCTATTCACATTAAATTTTCACCACGTCCGTAACCCATGCAATCCATACATACTAAGAGACCTAAACAAATAATTTCAGAAAATAAGTTATATGTAATAAAATGGAATGACACTGGGAAAAAGTATTGAACACACTAACTGAAATTTATTTACTGCTTCGTACAATATTCTGTGTTGGTAATGACAGCTTCAAGATGCCTCCTGTATGGAGAAACTAGTCGCATGCGTTGCTCAGGTGTGATTTTGTCTCATTCTTCCACACAGTCTTCAAATCTTTTTTTTTATTATTCTTTTTATTTAAATTTAAAAGGTGTTGAAGTATACAAAACAGAGCCTATAGGGCATACCCAGGCTCGGCACCACACTTAACAAGGTTACAAACTGATTAACAAAGAAACACATCCATAACATTCTTAATAAGGTTCTGGAAGACCTACTGTGTGTCAGAGAGTCGACTAGCCCCCACAGACATACCGTCACTGATAATGGTACTTGAATGGTGGTAACCGAGAAGATACAGGCCACCACTTCCCCAACCTTTGGGTCCTGTATCCACCGGTTTGTTAGACGCCAACAACCAGACTGCTGGGCAGATGATAGGGTGACTCTGAGCTCTATAGGGGCATGATCTGAGAGATCCGCAGATACAGTGGGGCAAAAAAGTATTTAGTCAGCCACCAATTGTGCAAGTTCTCCCACTTAAAAAGATGAGAGAGGCCTGTAATTGGCATCATAGGTAGACCTCAACTATGAGAGACAAAATGAAAAAAAAAATCCAGACAATCACATTGGCTGATTTGGAAAGAATGTATTTGCAAATTATGGTGGAAAATAAGTATTTGGTCAATATCAAAGGTTCCTCTCAATACTTTGTTATATTTCCTTTGTTGGCAATGACAGAGGTCAAACGTTTCCTGTAAGTCTTCACAAGGTTGGCACACACTGTTGCTGGTATGTTGGCCCATTCCTCCATGCAGATCTCCTCTAGAGCAGTGATGTTTTGGGCTGTCGCTGGGCAACACGGACTTTCAACTCCCTCCAAAGGTTTTCTATGGGGTTAAGATCTGGAGACTGGCTAGGCCACTCCAGGACCTTGAAATGCTTCTTACAAAGCCACTCCTTCCTTGCCCGGGCGGTATGTTTGGGATCATTGTCATGTTGGAAGACCCACCCACGTTTCATCTTCAATGCCCTTGCTGATGGAAGGAGGTTTGCACTCAAAATCACACGATACATGGCCCCATTCATTCTGTCCTGTACATGGATCAGTTGTCCTGGTCCCTTTGCGGAGAAACAGCCCCAAAGCATGATGTTGCCACCCTCATACTTTACAGTAGACATCGTGTTCTTTGGATGCAACTCAGCATTCTCTTCTATAATTCCTGCAAGTTAGAAGTGTCCCCGGGCCCTTCTAACATTTCCCATTTTACATTCCACATGTTCTTTATCTCCCAATGGTGGCCAGTTCCCCTGCACCACTTGTCATCCTTACTACAGAGGTGGTGTGACCATGGGTGGATGGACACCACTGTGCTTTCTAGAAGACCGATGATCTGTTTGGGGGTGGACAGGCTCGCTTGATCGTGGAAGTACTTTGTTCCTGGGACATCTTATTTTGGAATTACCTTTGTAAAACTTTGTTTTTAGAGGAAAAAAATGTTTTTGTTCTTTTTTAGTAAGTACTCAGTTGAAGGCTACCAGGACCAGCAAGTGGGACTTCAAAGGGCTACAATAGTGCCACCAGTCCAGTACTACATGTCTGTAACTGTGGTCCCAAGACTTTGGGGATGTGTTTAGTCCAATGAGAGATCTCCACACGCTAATATTTGTTGTGCTTTTCCTTTGAGATTACTGTGTTTCAGTGCCTTCACGCAATAGTTTCAGAGAGATTATGCAAATTTTTAGGAAGGACCTCCAGTTCTATGGGACTTTTAAGGCATCAATACATATAGGTAAAAATATACAAAATTTTTATTTTACATCAAACCTATAAAATTTCCAACCATATAAAACATATAACAGTGGCTCGTTCTGAAGGTCATATATATCACTACATCACTATCATACAATATTTGTTGGTTACAGAGTTTATCTATGGTAATCTGACGCATTTCAGAGTAAATATACTCCTTTCTCAGGGAAAAGACTCAGAGGTGATAAGATCTGTGAGATTAAGAATACATTTGTTTAGGGCATATAATATATATCCATATAGTACATTGATATAATTCTGTACAATACTCACAACATGA